TATTTTGAGACCAGGTTGGTGATGTAGCTGGGGGCAGAGTTGTGGATGCCATCTGATGCGTTTCACCTGGACCATAGGGGGCTCAGTCCCAGTGATCGACCACAGCTAAAATTGGTAAAACAACTTAGAGGGTGGCAAATATCCATAAAATCAGGAATTATCCAAACTCGCTCAGGATTCACAGACGTTCAATACATCCACTGCAATAATCTTGCATCATGGGCCGATTTTATAAATGGCAGACGCCATCAGCTTAACCAATGGATTAAAGACAAACCCACAATTTTGCTTCCACTAGTTCCAGCACTTATATGTCCCACTGCATGGTGGTAATGCTGTAAAAGCTTCTCACACCTAGATGTATTCATAAGGTGGATGTATCCAGTGCAGCTCTCTCCAATAGGAAGCGCTCCTTCTGCCTAACCCGTCACCAAGGATACTGGAAAGATCTGCCAATGACTGAACGCTGGAGGAACCTGTAGCACGACTCTGTGCAGCGGAATATTATGAGCTCTAAATCCGAGCTCATAATATTCCCCCTTCCTTGTGCCCTCCTCCATGACTTTTCCATCAAGATCAATAGTACAACTATCAGTCCCTCCCCTCAAGCCAGTCCTTTTGGCCCTAAATCCAATCACTGTCAAAAGCTTGTAGACTTCACCTCTGTAACATCTCTAAAATGTGCCCCTTTTTAACCAGTGAATCCACCAAGCTACTCATTCACTCCCTTGTTATCTCTTGCCTTGACTATTGCAACTCCCTTCTCATAGGCCTACCTCTCCATAGGACATTGCCTCTTCAGTCTCTCATGAATGCTGCTGCCAGAATCATCTACCTTACCAACTGCTCAGTGTTGGACACCCCTCTCTGCCAATCCCTCCACTGGCCTCCAGTTGCCCAGGGAATTAAATTCAAAATACTAAAAACATACAAAGCCATTCACATCTCTGCACTGAGCTACATCACCAATATTGTCTCCAAGTAACACCCAAACTGTCCTCTCCATTCCTCTCATGACCTCCTGCTCTCAAGCTTCCTTGTCTCCTCCTCCCATGCTCATCTCCAGAACTTTGCCAGAGCCTCTCCCATACTCTGAAACTCTCTACCTCAATCTGCCCAGCTATCTCCTACTCTGGCTGCCTTTAGGCGATCCCTGAAAACTCACCTCTTCAGGGAAGCCTATCGTACCTCCGAATAGACATTTTTTACTTCCATCAGCTCATCCCCCACAGTTATAACCTTTTTTTGAACTTCTTGCCCTACTCTAGTAGATTGTAAGCTCTTACAAGTAGGGCCATCTAATCTTGTTTTGATTGTATTGTAGCTGTACTGTCTCCCTTTATATTGTAAAGGGATGCACAAACTGTTGGTGCTATATACTGTAAGTCCTGTACAATAATAAAAAAAAATACCCGACTTGCAGTTCCAATATAAGAACTGATAGGCTAAACAGACTGTATACGATAATACATGAAGTGTGCACATGACACATGACAGCTCTATTCCATATTTCTGACATGGTCAACTGGTATTTTTTGCCCTTAAAAACAGTTTTCAGTGGTATATTTAAAATACTTTCAATGGCATTTAACAGACCAAAAGGGAGCAAATAGGAAAAGTTCATTGATGGGTCTGCACACACTTTTAGCCATGCTACTGGCATGAGAATCTGCATGTCAATGTCAATATTTGAGACAGGGAGCTTGCATTGTTCACTAGGGTGACATGGGTTGTTTTGTGTTGCCACCCACTTCAAAGTGAAATACACACAAACAACAAAGTGACACAATGGAGCCCATCAGTGTGGTGTGAAGTATAGTGAAGATGTTGAATAGACAACACCATGAATTGTTTATCTGGGTGTACAAAAATAGATACTGCTACCAAATGTTGTGCACAGTTCAGCCCATTGAATAAGACACAAAGCAGATCATTTCTTTAAGATAGGAGACTTCACATGGATTCTTGTGTGCCTACTGTGTGCAATCATTGTACCTATTACTCATTAACTTGGATAGGCAAAGGACAATTACAATTTATTTATTTATTGCAGGTACTTATATAGTGACATCAAATTACCCAGCGCTTTATATATATATTGTACATTCACATCAGTCCCTAACCCTCAAGGGGTGTACAATCTAAGTTATATAGAAGAAAACCCATAATATAATGGACATATCTCATTACAGGAAAATCATTTAAACAAAGCTGTTGAGAAGAAAAAAAAAAAAATTATTTTAGCTACACTCAGGCCCCGTTCACATCTAGTGATTTGGGATCGTTGCAGAATCGATGCAATTCTGCGCGATTCTAAATCGCACTGCAATGCTGACAAAACACATCATGCTTGTTTTTCTGCCATTCCTTTTCAATGACATTAAATCGCGGTTTGATTTTGTCGTGATTTATTGCAGGGCAATTGCGGCAAACCGCATGTGTGAAAATTGTCACTAAAAAAGGAGCAGGAGCTTCTTTTGGGAGACAAGCTTTCAGTGTGATTTGGAATGTTGGGCAGAATCACGGTGATTTCCGCTGTGATCCCAAATCGCTAGATTTGAGCAGGGCTTAAAGCGGAGCTCCACCCAGAAGGGGAAGTTCCGCTTTAAGCCCTTTTTAAGCTCCCCGTTAAGGATTGGCACCTTTGGGAAGTGGGCACCCAAATTTGACAGGTATCCGCTCCCACTTCTGCTGCGATCGCCTAAGGCAATTGGAAATGGAAGTTGTCCTCCCCCTCCCTCCCCGTAGTCTTCTGGGACACGTGACAGATCCCAAAAGAGTACGGGGCCATTCACAAAGTGCAGCGCTACTCACGCATGCACAGTGGGCACCCAACTGCAAGCTGTCACAGCCGGGTGCCCACACTGAAGATGCCGGTGCTGGGAAGAGAAGACGGCTGGTGAAACCAGCTGTGGTGAGGACACCGCTGGATCGTGGGACAGGTAAGTGGCTGTATTTTAAAAGTCAGCAGCTACAGTTTTTGTACCTGCTGACTTTTATTTTTTTTTTAAATCAACTGGAACTCCACTTTAAGGGCTGGTTTACTCCAGGAATGTAGTGCAATGCCATTCACATGCAGTGCAGTGCAGTGCACTTTGATGCCATTCATTTTGAATGGGCTGAATCGCACTGGGCTGTACAAAAAGTAGGGCAGCATACACTACTTTAAAAAACACACTGCATTTCTGTAACATATGATACGGTGCAGGTAAATGCATAGTCTATGTGACCTGCGATTGGTGTGGCATTATCTTAACATTGGCTCCCACTACAGATTGCAACTGCAGTGCATTTTGAAAATGGTGCGGGAAACATGCACAGAATGCAGGATTCCTGCACCGCATTCTAGTGTGAAGAGGCACTGGTGCATTCACACTTGTGAATGTATCCGCTTGGCGATTAGGTGCAAGAATCCCAATGAGGGGGTCCCAGGATTAGCTGTGAGAAAGCCCCATTTTAATCAGTCTGGTTAAATGCTAGGACTCCAGCGGGGGATCCCATGATTGGATGCAAGAGGCAGCCACATTGAAAGCAAAGGGAGGTTGCTGGCTCCTGCAGCTAATCATGCTCACTTACATGTAATTTCATGCAGTGATCCCATGGGTTGCGAGCCATTACATGTGAGTGGACATGATTAGCTGCAGTTGTTGATAGCCTCCCTTTGCTCCCAATGGGCCTGCCTCTAGCAGCTAATCATGGGAACCCCCACTGGGGTACTCGCATCTAATCGCTGATGGTTCGGGTGCATTTTCTAGTGTGAACGCACCCTTAGGCTTTAATACTTCTCCAGTTACGGGACAGATTAGTTTCCATACCCATAAAATACACATGAAAATGACCGCCGTGGCAAGAGCTTGCAGCGTCTTCCATCCCTTAAAGCCTTTCTAACCAAACTACTAATACAATTTAACTTTTCATGTGTAACGATTTTTACAAGGCATTAGTGAAAAGGCCTTTATTATTTCTATATGATCCTCTGAAAGCTTTAGCAAGCCCAGTTTGTATATTATATTGATTTAAATAATGCCACTAAGTTTATTTGGAATTACTTTTCTGAGCTCCCATAAAGTCCTATGTGTTGCTTAGTGCAACTGAGACTTAAGTGACCAACCCCTTAATATCCTCTATTAATAACTTGCGCGACATCAATGGCTCATTGTTTCATCACCATAGTTACATAGAAATAGTTTGCCACATCACATTCTGTCATTAATTCTGTAAAATGTTGCATATCCATCATTATGCTTTACTGAGTTTAACAATCAGTAAAATTAAAATGTAACGTTGTAAAAGAGTGTATTCTTCTTGATACATATTTACTGTATATAGAAGGAATCTGCATAAATAAAAGTGAATGCATGGATTTCCCTGAAACAATGAGCCTTGCAACTTTCAGTAAACAGACAGACAGACAGCTTTAACCACTTGTCCTCCAGAGGATTCACCCCCTGTCCTGACCAGGCCAATTTTTTGCGTTATGGCAATGCGTTACTTTAACTGACAATTGCGCAGTCATGCAAAGCTGCACCCAAATTAAATTTATGTCCTTTTTTCCCCACAAACAGAGCTTTCTTTCAGTGGTATTTGATTGCCTCTGCAGTTTTTTATTTTTTGCACTATAAAAAAAAGACCGACAATTGTGAAAAAAAACAATATATTTGACTTTTTGCTATTAAATATGTCCAGTAAAAAATATTAAAAAATCAAATTTCATCATAAATTTAATCCAAAATATATTCTGCTACATGTCTTTGTTAAAAAAAATCCCAAGACATGTAAATGAATTGGTTTACGTCGGGGGCGGACTGACAACTCATGGGGCCCCCGGGCAATAGGGGATCATGGGGCCCCTGTGTCCTTGCCCAAACTCAAAAAAGCCTATGAAAAAGGTACCAGGGGCATCTCAGGACCCCCTACTGACCCCGGGCCCTCGGGCAGTGCCAGAGTTTCCAAACAGTCAGTCCGCCCCTGGTTTACGTGAAAGTTCTAGCGTTTACAACTGGCTGTATGTATACTGGGATTTGTTTTTTTTTATTTTTACTAGTAATGGCAGCGATCAGCGACTTATAGCGGGACTGCAGACTGTGGTGGGCATTCTGACACTGGGGGGAACTGACTTGGTGTCACTGAAATCCCCAGTGACACCAATACAGTGATCAGTGCTAATAAAAAGCACTGACACTGTACTAATGGCACTTGGCACGAAGGGGTTAACATCTGGGGCGATCAAAGGGTTAACTGTGTGCTGTTTTACAGTGTGCTGTGTGTGTGCTTTAACCTGCTATGCAGAGTCATACAAAGCAATGTGCAGGAGCTGACAGGGGAGATATCTGTGTTGTTTATACACAGGTCTCTCTTCCATCAGTAATACTTGTAGATCGCCGGGTGACGGCGGGAAATCACCGGCCTAGTGATTGACAGCCAAGGCCGCGAAAGGTAGTGCGGCAGGGTGCACCCCATACCCGGAACTGCAAAATCATGTATATATGTGATTCTGCGCACCTGTGCTTCCCTGTAGCAGTATTTCTGCTATAGCATGGTGCAGAAGTGGTTAAAGAGACCCTTTCATCAACTTAAAAATTGCAGGTAAAACATGAAAAATCAAATATTATAAGTGCATACTTGCAGCATTTTCCTTTACCTGGAATTATCTATTCACTTATAATATGTCTCTAAACTTTCACAAAAATTTGACTACTCCAGCACAATCAACTCCCTAAAATAGCCCCTTTTCTTCCTGTATATCATAAAACTCGCCTATTCTGTGCTGTGCCAGCTCCTCTGCCCCAGCCTCTACCTCTCTACATGACCTTATATGTAGATGTCAGGGGAGGAGTGAAGGAGAATACTACAGCGTGTCACTTGAGTGACAGCTCTGTGTCTGCTGGGACTGCTGACATCTAAGAAGGCCAGTTCCCAGCAGCAGCCTCAGTGCATTTGGATGTCTACACGAAGGAGGCTTCTAAAAATAAATAACACGTATAAAATATACATCTAATGCAAATATAATCTTAAATGTACATATCTTTTTCTGGGAATATTTTTTCTGAACTCAATGTACTGGCAAAAGGATCACTTCAAAGCCCAATTCTAACCAAAACATTTCATATTTTTGTAGATCACAGAAGTTTATAGCTTCTGGCAGAATTTTATTACTCTCTCTGGTCCTTGTGGGAAGATTCCCTTTCACTGAAAAAAATCAGCAGGAAAATAATAACTGCAGAAGCGGAAGAAGGAGTTAACTAGGGCTGACTTGGATTACCTAAGGTATAATAAGGAGTAAGTAGAAAGATAGTTTATTTATAAAAAAAAATGTTTTTCTTCTATTTGTCAGGTTGCTTTACCCACTAGCCTACAGGACACTTATACCCCCTTCCTGCCCAGGCCAATTTCCTGCTTTCAGCACTGTCACACTTTGAATGACAATTGCGCGGTCATGCAACACTGTACCCATATGAAATGTTTATCTTTTTTTTTTTGTGACAGATAGAGCTTTATTTTGGTGGTATTTAATCACCTCAGGGTTTTTTATTTTTTCTTAAACAAACCAAAAACCACTGAAAATTTTGAAAAAAAAAAGATTAGTTTTTGTTATAAAATTTTGTAAATAAGTGATTTTTCTCCTTCACTGATGTGCGCTAATGAGGCTGCAGTGATTGACACTGATAGGTGGCACTGATGAGCACTGATGAGGAGGCACTGGTAGGTGGCACTGATGGGCATTGACAGGCATCACTGATGGGCACTGAAAGGCAGCACTGATATATGGTACTGATAGGAGGCACTGATAGGTGGCACTGACTGGCACTGATAGGCAGCACTGACTGGCACTGTTAGGTGGCACTGACTGGCACTGTTAGGCGGCACTGACTGGCACTGATAGGTGGCACTGACGGGCACTGCTAGGCGGCACTGACTGGCACTGATAGGTGGCACTGATTGGCAGCACTGATAGGTGGCACTGATTGGCATTGATAGGTGGCACTGACTGGCACTGATGGGTGACACTGAAAGGCAGCTCAGGTGGGCGCTGATATGTGGCATGAATGTGCACTGGTAGGCACTGATATGTGGCATTGATTTGGCACTGATGGGCACTGGCACGTGGCACTGATGAACACTGACATAAGGCACTGATTTACACTGACAGGTGGCACTTCTGGGGCTACACTGATCATCAGGGCACACTGATCATCAGTGCCCTGATGATCAGTGTACATGTCCCCTCCAAGGAATGCCTATTACCGGCTCTCCTCTGTCAGCGTGACAGCTCGAGAGGAGAGAAATGCCGATAACCGACATTTCCCTGTTTACATGTTATCAGCTGTGATTGGACACAGCTGATCACATGACCGAGCCGCCATCTTTGGCTCTTTCTGTGATCGGTGACCGCCGATCGCTGCGCTCTCCCTGAGCCGCACACGCGTGGTGAGAATGGGAGGACGTCATAAGACGTCCTCCCAGAACGAGAGAACCGCCTTGCGCCCATCATATTACTATATGGTGGGCGGGAGGTGGTTAAAGTAGTATTAAACCCCAAACCAAAAATGTATTATATTGCAGCAGGGTGTGCCTAGTTTTGTCAGGTACCTGCTTCCCACTTCTGATCCAACCACCTTGACTATCGAAGCAGAATTTCTCCCCTCCCGTGCCCTCAATCTCTTGGGACACGTCACAGGTCCCAGGAGTCTGCGGGACCATTCAGATAGCACAGTGTAGCTTACACATGCATAGTGGGGATCTGCCTGTGAAGTTGCAGGGAATCACAGCTGGCTTCCCACAGTAAACATTATTATTATTATACAGGATTTATATAGCGCCAACAGTTTGCTCAGCGCTTTACAATAGAAAGGGAGACAATACAGCAACAATGCAGTTCAATACAAGAGGGTTAGGAGGGCCCTGCTCCTTGGAGCTTACAATCTAAGAGACCGGAGATCCAAAGACCAGTGAAGAGCTGGCCCAGTTCGGTACAGTTCTGGATCCTTGGACAGGTAAGTGTCCTTTTATTAAAAGTCAGCAGCTACCGTATTTGTAGCTGAAAACTTTTATTTTTTTATGAACTGACTGCAGCTTCCTCTTTAAGACTACTGGCAGTCTAATGGCCAATATCATTCAACACATGTTCTTGAAGCCCATGTCATCTTGGAACCTCCCCAGCCTGTGACTGGACATTGAAAGGAGAAGCAGCATAGTGAAGAGTGCATCTCTCTGTTTCTCTGCTTTCACCTCCAATCAGCATGCTTCTTGTCAAACATAAACTGATAGGCTGCTTACACTGTTGCTTCGTTTCTCACTCTGGATCTGCAGCTATACATTGACTGTAAGAAGCTGATAACTGGCCAAATTCAGGAACTTACACTGATTACTGCTTATTAATGATTACAAAACTGGTCTTTTGTGTCTTTTATATGTTGTATCTGCCTAGAGTTCAGTTTTATGCTGAGTGGGGAAGGTTTAACCTTCTTGGAGATAAATTTTAGATCTTTCTGGAGGATATTGTAAATGATCCAACATGGCAGTGACCAAAGCAGATGTTGTATCATGTTTCTACATAAAGGAAGCTCTGATAAATTAAGCAAACTATGTTATAATGACTAAACAGTGAGTTGCTGCATATCAAAATACTGCTTTGTTGATAACAAATTCCCTTCAATCAGTACTAAAGTTTTTATTCTGTATTAATATATGTCCTCCAGAACAGTTTAGCAGTTCTGATATACAAGATAAATTAGCTCAGGAACAATACCGATTGTGAAATAAGGATTACAGTACTGCAGCTCTCCACTCAGCGATGTGAAAAAAAAAAAAACGTCTGGCCCTAATCTAAAACTTTCGCCTGGAAATGATGACACATGTTTGACATTTTGTAGGAAAACCCCTGGCTATCATTACATGCTGGCTTTGTTCTGCTGAGACTAGTATCACATCATGTGAGCCAGTGAGAATGGTCCAGTGGACTGGGAGCAAATCAGAACAAGCTTACCAACATTGATTCGTAATAGAACAGCGCCCCTAGTGACAGTTCAATTTAAAGGCTTTCAATTCAAAGAAACCCATCATTTCACTGGAAAATAAAATGTAGAGCAGTGATTGCATTTTATATGGTCCTGATATGCTTAGTAGTTCTTAGTACAGAGGAAGGAACTGTGAATCCCTGCCAAATTAATCATAGTGACCTAGCACTGTTGGAGTTGATCAGAAGAACATACAAACTACAGGTAGAAGTCCTCTAGTTGGAGATGAATCTAAGATTGGGTTTACAACAATTTAAAAGTATACACCAGTCAAAATAGAAAAGGAAATCTAAATAAAATAACTGATGGGCTTGTCCACAAGATTCGTTTAAGGACATAATAGTACATAATGCTAATATTTGGGAATTATAGCTAAAATTTAAATTGGGTTAGGTTTCCATATAGTGACATCACAGTGTAGTTGTCATTAAATTCAAAGCTTTTATAATGCAATGCTTAATGTGTCTATCTAGAAAAGATTTGTGAATAAAACTGTTCAGTTAAAGCTTAGTGGAGGACAATAGCAGCTGGCACCAGAGGTTAATGAGGTGGCAGTGGATGTGATATACTTGGATTTTGCAAAAGCGTTTGAAACAGTTCCCCAAACACACGGCTAATGTGTAAGGTAAAGTCTACGGGCTTGGAAAAATCTGTATGTAAATGGATAGAAAACTGGATAAAAGATTGTATTCAGAGAGTAGTGGTGGATGACTCATACTCTAAATGGTCTAGGGTTGCCAGTGGTGTACCCCAGGGTTCAGTGTTGGGACCCTTACTTTTTAATATATTTATAAATCATATAGGGTCTGGGATTAAAAATCCCATTTCAGTCTTTGCAGATGACACCAAGCTGTGCAGTGGAATAATGTCCTTACAGGATGTCTTCAATTTCCATGCTGACCTCAATGCACTGTTTAATTGGGCAACTATGGTTTCTAAAGCGAGCAACATCCTCTCTTGTATTAAAAGAGGTATAGACTCCAGAGAGAGAGAGATATCATATTACCCCTGTACAAATCATTAGTAGGACCTCATCTGGAATATGCAGTTCAGTTTTGGGCACCAATTCACAAAAAGAACATTGGGGAACTGGAGAAAGTACAGAGAAGGGCAACCAAACTGATAAGAGGCATGGAGGAGCTCAGCTATGAGGAATGATTAGAGGAACTGAATGTATTCTCTCTTGAGAAGAGGAGATTAGCGGGGATATGATCAACATGTATAAATACATCAGTGGTTCATATAGTGGACTCGGTGTAGACTTATTCACTCTGAGGTCATCACAGAGGACAAGGGGGCACTCTTTACGTCTGGAGGAAAAAAAATGTAATCTCCAAACACGGAAAGGTTTCTTCACTATTCTGACTCAGATTGTTGTGATAGCAATTTATCCCTTGTGAGACCTCTCTGCCTAGCCTGTATAAGCAGATATAATCACTGTGGACAATCCTTATCAGATAGCTGAACTCACCAATACTGTGTTCATCCAGAAGTTGCTTTATTCTGTACATGTGACAACAGGATACAGCAGAATGAATGTTTCCAGTATTATGCGGTCAAAAAGATGATACTTTCTGTAGCGTATTATGCAGAATACATGTGTCTCTGTTACATGTGGACTGTTAGCTGCCTCCAAGACACAGGAAGTGCTGAACTCAAGAAGAAGGGAGGAGCTTCATATACAAAGGAATTGTGTCATAGATCTCAGGGAGGTAATATAAAACAAATGCATTACCAAATAAGGCCACTGGATGGCAGCATAACTAACTATAGAAATGTCCATAGGAAATGGTACAAAAAATAAACTATATGAATTCTCATGTACATTAACATAAATATTAACTGTGTAACAGCATATTCACAGTGAGAGCTGTGAAACTGTGGAATAGATTCCCTCAAGAGTTGGTTCTGGCCAACTCAGTGGATTGCTTTAAAAAAGGCCTGGATTCTTTCTTAGATACACAGAATATAACTGGATACTAACATTTATAGGTAAAGTTGATCCAGGGAATATCCAATTGCCTCTCGGGGGATCAGGAAGGAATTTTTTTTCCCTGCAGGAGCAAATTGCATCATGCTTTGCTCAGTTTTTTTGTCTTCCTCTGAATCAGCTGTGGGTATAGGATTATAATTTTTTTTTTTTTTAATGGTTGAACTGGATGGACTTTTGTTTTTTTTCAGCCAGACTCACTATGTAACTATGTAATACTCCCAATCCCCAATACCCCAATGAAATCAATACAGAATGGGTGAAAACGTAAATACATAAATCACAAAAATACATGCAATGAATAAATAAGCTTTCTCAATCCGTAAATAAATAAATAAACATACGAGCAAAAGGAATTCATATATAAAATGAGATAAATAGAATAAATTCATATATAAAATAAAATAAAATACAATAAAATAAACAGTCCATGTGCCAAAATATATAGTGATTCCACCAGTTCATAAAAATGAAGTGCAAAAATCTCTCCTTTAATCCTTTCTGTAAAAAGTGAACTACAAATATCCACTGTGTCAACACTACCACCAGCACTTTGCACTCATTGGAACATGTGGCTGCATAGGTTATACGCAGAAAAAGCGCTCTATGTAGTCATCCAAACAGCAGCAATTCTCTTATGGATGCGGTCCCTTTAAATGAATGAGGTCACCACAGCTCAGGGTAAACAAGTAAACAGTGTAGCTGTATAGGATAAATTCCCACCACATGGAGCCAAATATTACTTTTATGTTGTAGTATTTCTTTAGAATCAGTCAGCATCCGATATAGAATATAAAAGTAAAAAGCACAGTCACCAGCACTTACAAATGTGGCCCCCACATAAGCTCCATGCGGTAGCGTTGCATCAGCACTCTAACCCTGCCCAATACATTTTGCGCTCTAGTGCATCATCAGAGGTGAAAAAACCCTGATGATGTGCTAGAGCGCGAAATGCACCGGAAGGAGTTAGATACTGTATAT